TCCTGACGAAACGCGTACGTCTTTTTATATCTACCCTTCAGATGACGCGACTCACTCAGCCTTTTTAGACACCGCTCACTCAAGCATCAAGCATGCTTTGGCCCACCTTAAGGAAAGGAACAAACTTATTTTGACATATGAGCCTCGCGACATATTCTGGCATGTGTCTAAGAAGACTCGACAAAAGTCCAAGATTTGGGAACCCGGCAAATTCAGACGTCACGATAAGCAGGAATTGGCTGTCACGGCATGGTCGTGTCTTGCTAAATCCGCTTTATCCACTAAAGACCGGGAAGATCATCTGGAGGAATGGGCCTTGGCTACTTCAATAGTCGAAAGCTGCTCAGCAGCTGTCCGGTGGTGTGATAATGTCCGGCCGTCACTGTCATTACTACGCGCAGATCTGCGGCTACTCGGAGAACTTTGTGAAAACCACTCGCAACACAAAACAGCCTTATGGTTATATAACAGCGAGTACAGGCGTCTGGAAAATACTGGTGCTTACTCTGACGCTGAAATCACTTTTCGACTTGCCCGCACCCACTTCAAACTTGGCCACATCAAGGAAGCGGAAGCGAAGTGCCTTACGACGATAGAATTGATAAGTGCGAAGCCACCAACAGACGATAAGATCGTCATGGAAGCCTATCGACTTCGGGCCTCATTATTTGTCTCACAAGGTTACCCTGAGCGCGCTACTACAACATTGGAAGATCTATTGAGCAGGCTCGGAGGCACAGAAATTGAGCCCTATGGTGCTATGTCCTGGTATGCGGAGAGTAAGAGTCACTCTGCACTGCTTTCTGTCATCAGAGATCTTTCAGACCGTCTGGCATGCCAAGGTGATTACGAAAATGCTGCTTCGTTACTGCAACGCGCTTTCCTGGCCCAGAAGCAACAAAAGTGGCAGAACAAACCAACGACAATAATACTTCTTGATTCATTGGCAGCGGTCTACCGTCGACAAGGTGAGCTTCGTCGAGCCGAAAGCTGCTACATTGATGCACAGCATCTCACGAAAGTTTGGCTCGGCAAATACCATCCCTTTTCGGCTTTGCGACAGGCAAAGTACGGGGTTGCTGTTGGTTTGCAAGGCCGTAGGAAAGAGGCTGCCCGAATTTTCAGGGAAGCGTTCGACACAGCTAGCCATTGTCTCGGTATAGGGCATCCAGATGTCCTTAATATCCACGAGAACTTGATATATTGTCTTGCGGCAGACGGTAATTACGACGCAGCTTTAAAGGAGGTTCACAGAGTGAAGGAGGAAAGTAAGACCGCGGAGACAAGTCTCGATCAGTACACATTTCAAAGGCTTGAGCAGTTTAGAAAGGCACTCAGTGATGCAAAAGGCGATTATGGACGTGCATACGAATTGGCAGAGACCCATCCTTGGACGCTGAAATGGTTGCAGGATGAGTCTGAGGGATTGAACTGGTTTTCATTTCTTGAAACACAGGTCGAGAAAGGAACATCTGAATAAGGGGTACTTTTCGAGCGGGAGCTGCCTTAACGCAGCCATGACAGCAACCATTAACTGCGTAGGTGAATCATGGCAGATGAAGCCATGATTATACCAGTAAAAAAAAGAAAGTCTTCATCGAAATCATCTCACTGTGGCGTTTCTAGAGACAATACCTTAATTAGAAGGACCCCAAGTATGCTCTAGAATTCGCAAAACGCAGCATCGCTAGCCACCGAGGCGCCAAAGCACGATGGTTTAGGACGTCCGCCTAGACTAAGCGGTGGCCATGGCGAGAGAATTGGGACCAGCTAACATCTAAACTGTCGTGACCAAGCTCACGGCTGACTTCACTGTTCCAGACAGGCTCTTCCTCGGATTTGCTATGCTCCACTCTACCACTCCAAGAAGCGACACCCACCAATTCAACTTATCATATTATCATGACAAAGGGCGTCTCTAATCTATCTAAATTAGACCAACTAGGGTCAGATCGGTATCTGAGTCATTGAAGACAACCGAATACAGAACATTGTATATATCTGACTCGGCTCTAAATACTTGTGAAGGAACTATTTCATATAACAGATGCAAACTTTTGTTGAAATGATTTACGAATTGGAATGGCTGGACTGAAGTCAATTTAGAGTTTTATTGTTCTTTTACCTCGATCTGTGTTTTATCTGTCTGGCTCTCAACTAAGCTAGACTACCACCACTCTGCCTCTCTCACTTGAAGATGTCCTGTCTCCAAACATGATCTGATGAGGCAGACCGTTTTCACGCACCATTGCAATAGCAAGGAGTGTTGTAGTATCGTCGGCTGAACTTCTTCGCAACACCACCGGCCAGCTCATGCCGTCAAGGACCCAGATCTCATCTCCAAAGTGCGCTATGCTCGTCGTCGTAATGACCCTTTGCCCATCCGAGCTGGAAAAGGATTTCCAAGGAAGAAACCCATCGTGGTCCCTGTCGAGTGCGCTTCCCAGGATATCAACTCGGGTTCCCGCAGCTTCGAGTACTCGTTTCTCGTTCCCATGTCTATCTTTCAAAAAGTCTAAAGAGGCCTTGGAGCTATTACTCGTGCCTGCGGTACACTTCGGCGGCAGCTCCAACGCGTCAATGAACTTTTGCCTCTCAATATCCTCCCGTTTGTCCCAATCGGGGACCCATGATGGCAATGAATCGTCCCCCTGGGGGAGGTCCCGACTGTATGCTGCAGTTCCTGCTTGTGCCAAGATGTTAAGACCTTCACTTTCGTGCTTGACAATGGCACAGGCTACGTCGACAAGTACAGCGTTGAGACTGTAGGTTGGCTCATACCTGATTGGCACTTCGTCTCCCAGGTTTGTCAGGCCAATAAAGGCATAAAACTTGTCTTTCGGCTGTGATGTTTCCGTGTTTCGTGCATGTTGAAGAAGGTAAGATAGGTTGATCTGATGATGTTGCCTTTCCCATAACTTTCTACCTTCAATGACCCTGTTCACAAGCGCTCGACTTGCATCCGTTTTTCTTAAACGCCGGAGATGCTTTTCCATTCCTCTCTTACTTGTTCTATCTTCCAGCTTGTTTGTCATCTTTGCTTCGTAGCCAGGACAACAGGGGTAACGAAAAAAGCAGCAACCGAGTGCCCAGGGCACAGAGAGTGCTACAGCTGCTAGTAGGCAGGCTGCTGCTCCTATGCCAGTGCATGGAGAGAGGCAACAGCGAGCCACGCTGCACACTAATAATTCCAACGTATCGTCAGATAAAGAGTCATCCCGACAAAAGCAGACTGCTGACCCTGCATTACGCGCACGGCGTGTCATTGGCTTCTTGCTGGCAAAGAGCTCGTACCGCCGCATGGTGGTATCGGCGAAGTCCCGTTTCTGTAACGCCTCCTCGCATGCATCGAAGGTGTCCAGCTCCAAGAACAGCGACAGAATTGGGTGAAGTTGGTTCCACGGCTTTGAGAACTGATCAGAGAACAAGAAGAATACTTCCGATGCGACAATGAACTCTTGGTAAACCCACGAGCGACTCCACCAAGGGTGGTTGATCACTTGATTCAATTGGCCTTGACGATAGACTTTGCGTTTTTAGTTGGCTGTACCTTGACTAGGAAATGGTTAGTATACTCGCCGGCGCTAACGTTGATGTTAAGCGAGTCAACTCTATAGAACTCTGTCTGCTTTGACCCTGGCTAGTGGTTATGAATTCGTCGTGGCTAGCAGTATCTATAAGTCTTAAGCTTTAATAAAGGCATAAATAAGTAAAAAAGTAGCTGGTGTATGAAAAACAACTGCTCATACGCAACGCGATGTATTTGCCACTTTTGATTGTGTGACGAGAGTTAGATGGAATAGGCAAACTGTCGAACTCTATCCAATGACGACACAAAGTGGGCCTGTCACATACCGCAGTTGTTGACTATTAGCGACCACTGTCTTGTGTTGGCATGCTCCCACCCGGATACTCAACGGAAGTCTGAAGTAGGATACACAATTTTTTTCTTTCGTTGTTGGATTGTTTCATTGTGGTTTTTTCCGAGAGAAAACCCGGTCCTTTGCTTTAGCCTGCAGCTCTCTCGAGCGGCCCTCGAAAGCGGGCTGAGTGGGCTCCACCTACTCCGAGTGGACCCAAGTTGGCAGCCGGTCTATCCCGAGATTCGGACTACCAGACAGTTGACCAGGCCACTGTACCCGACCGAAGGTTACGCCCGCATTGTTTCCTAATACACAAAGAAATACCAAGTAGGTGACCCTAACACAACCAGTCATCGTCTCACTGTACTCGGCTCCAAGCACGGTCCCGCGTTGTATCATTTGACATACAATGGACAGTGTTTGCATGTGAGTCATGCCGAAGGAGGCTCCTTGCCGATACCTTGCAGCTACGTTGTTCAAGCATGCATACCGCCTACATCCTTACTTGGGGATTGAAGAGATGAAGGCGGAAGTGAAACTACAACAATACGCGGCACAGAGACTGTCCCTACTTGGTCGCAACGCCCAACATCCTTTCAATTCCGCTGGATTAGCCTGTTTAAACTGTAAATCCCATGATCATGTCACTTACGACTACACCCACTGGAAACCCTGAGATCCTGTCCGATTTCCTATATATGAGCCAATGAGGAGATCCTTCCGTAGTTGTTTAGACGAAATCTGGTATCACTTACCCAACCCAGCATATGGAATACAGCATCCGTATTTTTAAAGATCACAGCGCATTCATTCAACCTGGTTTCCAGTGCCTTTGATGTTCGCTGTTGACGAGGAGGAATCAAGGACTAGGGACCTTACCAAGTCGCTGCAGTAAACCTTTTGAGGAAGCATTTGGGTTTATGAATACAGAGAGAGCTGGCTTAGGCATTTTTTATAAGGCAATCAAACAAGTTTTGAATTCCAGTTCTAAGAAATCTACATGGTAATATGCCTGTAGTGATTTATAAAAGAAAAAAGAACCTGAACCTCTTTCTCGCAAAAATACCACAAAACTAAACACTTGTAGCATCTAGATTACCTCCAGATGTTCTGGTCAAAACCTATACTTTGATAGATTCAGATGCCTTGCTTGATAATTTCCGCGGCCTGTGATTCGCAAGATGTCGTTAGCACGAAGCCGTAGTAAGTATTGGCTGGCTGAGAAACAACATAGATCCCACGTGAGGATGTATGGATGAAAGGAATAATAGGACATTGACTCACCTTCTCGGCCAGGGCGTAGGTAGGCTGGCATGTGTTGGCACTGGGAACCATGGGCATGACACTGGCGTCGACTACTCTCAAGTTCTTCACTCCGTACACGCGCAAGGTTTGGTCAACAACACCACCCAACTTCAGCGGCAGCATGGATGCTGTGCCGACAGGGTGGTAGTCGGTCGGTGACATAGCCCCGGAGATATAGGCCTTGAGGTCCTCGTCCGAGATGACTTCAGGGCCGGGGACGTACTCGACCGGATCAAACTCAGAGGCTAGGGAGGTCTCGAAGTTGTAGCGGCGGAGAAATCTGATTGACTCAACGAAGAAGTCGGCCTCTAGAGGGTTGGTCAGGGCGCGGTAGTCGATTACGGGCTCAGTGCTCCAAGGGTCGGTCGTGTTGATGTTGATGGTGCCGCGGCTGAAGGATTGCATCGCCACGGGGCCCTGGGCGCCATGGTCGGCGATGAGCTGGAATCGCGTGAAGGCCGTGTTCTTGGAACGCATCTGGGCGGCGAGTAGCTTCATCTGCGCCTCGAAGCCGGCGGCCACAGTAGCGTCGGCGTCGGCCGACAACAGGCTGGCAAAGTCTTGTTGCTCCAGCTTCGTGGCAAGTTCTTCGGCCTTGTCCGACACGACGGTGAAAGGAAGCCATCCAGCTAGATTGGTGAGTGCGATGGAGTATGGACCTATGTCGTGCGAATTATCCAACGTTAGCCTCAGTAGAATGCACATTGTGGGGCAGGCAAAGATAGGAATGGACGGTACGGACCGGTCTTGTTAGCTGCCCACACCTCGTCGGCCCAGTTTTTAAAGTCGTTTCCATCAACCAGATCTCTCGGGTTCGGGTGGATCGACGCGAGTTTAGAGACTACACAATAGGTCAGGCATGTCAAACTCATCAAAGCCCCCTCGGCTTAAGCTATGGGGTGCTCTTGTCACTTACGTGTAATATTCATTCCAGATAGACTAGGGTGGTCGTGGAAGTTTTGGCCAACGCCAGGTAGGTCGACAAGCACGTCAATGCCACCAGCCTCAAGAATCTTCTTGGGTCCGATACCACTGAGCTGCAAGAGGTGAGGAGTGTGAATGGTACCGGCAGAGAGAATGACCTCCTTGTTTGCGTTGACGGTGAACAAGGTGTTGTTTCCTAACGGGAACTCGACTCCAGTGGCAGAGAGCTCATCGTCCACTACCAGCCTGCGAGCCTGGGTGTTGACCAAAAGGTGGTAGTTGGGGCGGGTAGCGTTGACATTAAGATAGTGACCAGTACCGGCGTAGGAGCGCGTAACAGTTCGGGGATCCATAAGCGTGGGGAACCAGAAAACGCCTGCCTGTCCAGCACCACTGTCGGACGGGAACTCAACACCATCGATCTCCTTGAACGCTTCCAAGAGTGGAGTCACGCCTGGATAGTAGAACCGAGGCCAACCGGCATAGATCTCGGAAGAGTCTCCCCAGTAGGACGCATCGTACTTGACGCTATCAAAGTTGTTGGTCAGTTCCGGAGGCGGCTCAGTAAAGTGGAGGCCCTTTCATGCGACAGTCAGTTCGGCGTCTTAGTAATTAGTCCAGGGCACTTTTCTCACCTTCTTGAAAAACGGTAATATGCCATCCCAGCTCCAGTCAGCAGTGCCCTGCTGGGCCTCGTATCCGAATAGGGTAGCCCAGCGGTCATAATCCTCTGCAGAGCCTCGCATATTCACCATGGCGTTCACGGACGCGCCGCCTCCAACTTGCTTAGCAATGAAGACGTTGCCAGGCCTTCCGTTCAGATTGGGCTGTGGCACAGACTGGAGATCGGGCCACAGCAAGTCGGTGAAAGATCCATTCCTGCCCGAAGTGCGAACCAAAAGATTGTCTGCCATGTTGCCCCAGTCACCGGCTTCAAGGACCAAGACGGTCGTTTCTGGGTCCTCGGTCAGGCGGTCTGCCACAGTCAGTCCTGCCGTTCCACCCCCCACAATGACATAGTCATAACTTTGCAGGAGCTGAGATGGCTTGATCTGGCGCGGGATGACATAGGCGTTGGCGACACAGCTCGCCGTGAGGAGAGCTGCAATTGTGATCCCTGGCCACTGAGGCTGGGACTTGGACTGACGAAAGAACGGCATGATGAATAACGATCGTAGTCGCATAAAGAGCAGAGTAAAACTGAATAAAAGGAGTGAATTACTCACAGACACCTTGAGAGGCTTAGTGGTGACCAAAGCACTGGGCATCATTACTTATAATACACGGGTATCGCAAGTTTCCTATTAAGTGCACAATACTTGGCGTTGATCGGGCATTCCCTTTTGGGGTATCTTCGGTTACTCCTAACCCACCTGACATGACACAATACCTTAAATCTGCATGCCCAGAGTACGGATGCGCGTGTTAGGTCGAAGGTTTATTAACCTTCTGCCTTGGGAGAACATTGTGGAGAAGCGCTCAGTCGTTTAAGGAAGTTGCCAAGACGGAAAACAAAATAAGGTACCATCCTTACCGGGTTTCAATATGCAGTGATCCTTCGCTGTGCAAGGAACATTAATTCGGATCCCCAGGCGCTGCAGGTACGGCTGGCCTCTAGTTGCTCCTGACGGCATGGTCGACCTTTTCTCCGTCCTCTTTTGCACATGTAGGGTACGGATAGGGCAGGCAGATGGTATCGCAGCACAACCAAAGAATCCTTGTGACCCCACGCGCCCCATAGCGAACCTTGGAGGGCACGGTGCAACATATAGGAAGAGAGCTTCAGTCCGGAGATGAAGACGAAATGGTGATTAATACGGGGGAAGCGATGATCCCGCAAACCAGACAAGGCGCCGTCGACCTTATATCATAGTAGCGGCTGTGCATGAATGTCCCCGCTTCCTCACATATTGTCATCATTTATCAGCAACAGGAATTTTGTCCATTTAGTTTGTCAATTGGTCGGTATTGATGCTTGAAGAGCTTGGCCTCGAGAGCGCTGCGGAGACCAAGCAGCGCTGCTCGGCCATCATCGACAATTTCCGCTTAGCCCACCCCGAATGGGCAAACATTGCATGGGGCGGCGCTCCGCGCCTCGTCTTGTAATTGTATATACCAAGTACTTCTTGCCGGATTGATTGCCGGGAGGCCGGTGCCAGATGATGTCCACTTAGGCCCGAATTTGGCTTGTGAGTGATTTAAGCACGTTTTTGAGACTCTGCGAGACCATCGCGGCGGATTTCCTCGATTCGTCAAAGTCTGCAGTGCGGCATTCTTATTAATCACGAAGCAGAGTTTTTTCTTGGAGACTGCCAGCAGGCACTCTTTAGGTTCTAGACCTGTATTTACGACTCTTTCAGTATACAGCTCGGACATTCAACATCTGTTACCTGCTTCCAGACACCCCTTCACTAGGCACCTTGTATGAAAGATATTGATTAGTTTGACTTATTCAACTTGCTCTTGGTACTTACTATAGTACTGACAGATGTGCTGCGTGCCATATAATCGTACTGCGATTGTGTTACGTCGCTGCCTGGCCATTGAACAGTCACTTACTACAATCAACCTGAGTCGCTAGTTGACGACACTGAGATTTTCTACGGATTTAGATCAATTAGATGAATTTCTGCACCTTGGTGATCACGATTGAGACAGTCCGGGCTTATTGGGGTTGTCTAACTAGCGGTTGACTAAACTGTGGATGTGAATCAGTGCTTCGTCAGGAAAGTGAGAGTGAGATTCGACGATACTACGTCTCGAATACGGTAATTGGGGTTTTAAACACAGTCATTTAGCATCATAAAAAACTCCGACATATGTAGCTCCTTCCCATTAACTAGCTGTGCCAGCCCTTAAGTTGTTCATGATTGGCTGGAGCTTGTTATCGGCTTGGTTCGCAGGCTATAATTGCCAGACTTGATAGAATGCGAAATATCCCCCCTACTTCGGTTTGGGCTGATACTGTAGCCTACAGTAGACATGTGTCCCAGCAAAGAAAAGTATCAGATGCTTTATTTTAGGATATATGTTTTAGATCTCTATCTGTCGAAAGATTAGAACAAGTCCAGCCGGTGTACACAAGTATTGAAGCAAATGCTTACCTCATGTTGATCTGGCAAGAAAGCAAAGCCTCTTCCATACCCTTAAGTGGTTTCACAATGCTCCTGTAATACTGCTCCTTGAACTTCTCGTCGCCATACATGTGGGTCTCCCACGTAGAAAACTCGACGCAGGATAAGATCACCCGGGAATAAGCGTCTCCCATGTTGGAGCACGTGCTCAGGGCCTTTTCGCTGATGTACGATCGCCGCTCACCATCATTTTGCGGAATTCCTCGCAGTTTCTCCGGGGTGGGCAGACCAATAAGACCGAGTTGGAGTAGGATTTGTGCCAAGTTCAAGAGAAGTGCAGATCTTGGCCTGGAAGAATGTTCGTCATCATCGACCGCATAAGAGAGTGCTGTAGGCTTTTTGATAACCCTTTCTAGAAAGGGTGTTAGGTCATGTTCGGCGGACTTGTAGAACACCACGCTACTTTCGGGGCTAGGATCCGAGTCTTTGAGGTCGAACCTGAGTACGGCCTCTGCGATGAGCCTCGAGATTCGTATGATCCAGAATTTGCTATGCCGCGAGCCGAGAATATCCGATAGAGTTATAGGCTTTCCGCTCTTATCGCCTGAAACTGGCCGCTCGTCCTTGGGAAGACAGAACAAATCGTGATCGGTTCCGCAGTCATCTACCATATTCATAACGAGACTGTCAGGGGTATCATGCTGACTGAGGGCTTCTGGGCACACTTGGACCTCGCGATTAAGACTTGCAGGAGGCGCGGGCGCAGATATTCTTCTGGCGCTCTGGCCCATTTGCGTCTTCAGTGTCTTTTGGGAAGGTCCAACAGCCATGGACTCAGCTCGTCGCTTTTTCGGGTTTCGGCTCAGAGTCTCACTGTAAGCTGAACTACCAGATGTGGCTGCTGAACCGGTATCACTAGTCTCAAGGGCTCCGTCTGAGGGAAGTCTGGTGTTGACAAGAGATGATTCAACTCTGAGCCAGATCAAGGACGTTTTCTTTGTTATGGTAGACTTGAATGCCATATGCCACTTCCATGTCACCTGCTCAGGATCACCTGGATTATTGGATGGTCTGCCATTGCCATGTTCTGGCTCAAGGCTGAGGTATGCGTAGTGGGTTGGGTGACATCTCTCAGAGCAGGCTTGACAGAGACATTGATGGAATAATGTGGAAACTTGGCCTTCGATAGAAAGCCTTTGTATGTTTTCCGTCTCGGAGTCGCTTGCTTCTTTAGTGGTGGGCTTTGGTGGGTTCTTGTCTCTAATAACCCGACGAGCATTTCGCCTGAAGTCGTCAAATCTCATTGAAAGATCCGTCAAGGCGGATTCAAGCTCCGCTTTTTGAGCTTCTGGGGGTACCGAGCGACTCTATTTCGGTTGATGGCTGTGTCAGATCAAGGTTCATAAACAATCCACATTGGTTGGGCAATCTACCTCGCTTTTGCTACCAATTTTTCGAATGGCCAGTTGGACTTGATGCAGTTGAGGCCATAGTTCGTTGACAGCCATATAAATTTCGTAACATGCTAGAAGCACGGAAATCTCTGAGGACTTGGCACCGGAAGAAATATTGCCAAGAGTTTTAACAAGTACCCTGCTGAGGACTGCGTATTCATCTCTCTGGGTCATTACATCCCAACGAAGGCGTGCTCGAGTATTCTTGGACCTTCGAATGCGTTTAATTTGGCTGAGGATGTTATTGTAAGAAGAGCCAATTTTGTTTGCAACGGAATCAAAGCAGCCTTGGTACTCTTCCAAAGTCGACGGAGTAGGACCATTCAGAGGTTCGCACACATCGGCTAGTGGGCTTGAGCGATCTTCTTCGGCGTCGCGAGAAAAAGCCGTTTGCGCTTCCACTCTCGGCGAAAGAGGATCCAGCATATTGTCTGTGCTCTGTTTCGGAAAAGCCGTTGTAGGAGATATGGAATCCAAACGCCTGTCTATGGCATCGGTGGCGTTAATGTTCTCCGCATGTTGAAGTGTCTGGTTCCAGTGTAGGTGACCGTTAACGTAAATGTGACAGTTACTGTTTGCTTCTTGATCACTTTGAACACCCGTAGCTGCAGTAGTGATATGTCGGCTAGAAGCCGTTGTCATAATTCCTCCGGTGCTGATCTCATTTTGGCGGGCGAGTACGGCCATAGAGTCGTCAGATGGATCTGGCGACGTGTGATCTGCCATATCTTAATCGGGAAGTTGAATGAATAGTTCAAGACAACAAAATGATTTCCCTGTTCACTAAAAAGAACTTTATTGAAAACAGGAATGAAGAATCATAAGGACGGAGCGTGAAGTAGGTGTTACTGATTTGGGGTGTGAGCAGAGCTTTGATTTCCGTGGGGCTCTGTCAGCCTCTCAGACTGCTCGTGAGTAGAAGCCTGAGGTCACTTTATCAGTCATCTTTATTCCCTCACATCAAGCTGAAATGTTCTTGAGCAAGGTAATCAATAAAAGTTGGTTGTGGAGTGCAAACCAAGCCACGCCAATTGAAAATCGGCGTGCCCAAGCCTTGTTGAACCCCTCTGCATTAGTTTCGGACGCAAGTACACAGTACGTTGTCGCACCAGGTATGAACTCGTCGGTGGAGTCCCTCAAAGCAATTGGGGGCGATGATGTGTGAGATAAGATCAAACTGGGGTTGCCAGATAATGAGATGTGTTGACCAGCTTACCCTTCTCGCAGTTGACAAGATTGAGGGCGGGACAGTCCAGGTTTGCTCCCTCTTACTTATTTTTTACCCCATTTCTAATTTCTGTACTCGCTCTAATTTTTTTTTATACCTATAGCCTCTTTAACTCCTACTGAATACGTAGACGACAGATACCGACGACATAGGCGAATAGAGGGGCCATGAAAGGATCGGACGACCACAAATGGTCTCCGTAGGTTATTCGTCAATTGTGTGCCCTCCAACTTAACAGCCTGCTTCAGGTATGCAGAAGCTTCATGCAGGTAGTGCAGTCTTGATTCGGCAAGTGACACTTGGTGGACTCAGTTCATTTAGCCGGCGCGCAGCACTTAGCGGACCTCATGATCGGACATGACCGGTTCTCCCTGCAGCTGTCTGGTTTTTCTTTGGTGACAAGGTGGTAATATTCCAGGTGCTGTCAGCAGTGAGCACTCACCAAATACCAATATTCATTCCCCTTGGTTTAGACGCCTCATCCTGCCAATAATGCAGCCATTCCCTCTTCGGCAAACTGTCGAGGTGCGGGGTTTTTCCCTTTATTGGCACCTCTCTCACAGGCTCCCCGTACATCTTCTTTCTCGGGCATCTTCTTGAAAACCCAGCAACCGGAAAGTCATCATACTGCGACTTTTTTCTGTCGATTTCATTTCATACGATACGTCGCCACTCGGCCCAAAACAGCCTGTGCACAATGGTATGCTCTGCATCACAATGTAGGTGACTTGTATAGAGAAAACTAATCGCTGAGCCATCTGTAGGAAGCCCTTGGTGGTCTAGCTGCATGCATTGAAATTTTCAAAAGCTCACTTAATCTTTTAGAATATGCCAAAGCGGCGTATTTGAAACAGAAGCATGGAGCAAAGTATCTCCAGGGTGTTCGTGGTGATGTGAAGGCCACGCTCGACGTTCTTGAATTGCTCAATGCTGAGAAAGAGCTGCGTCAAGATCAGGTCGACAAGGCAGCTTATCAAGTGGCACTCAAGGGGCAGAACATATTTCAACTGATTCATGACCTTGGCCAGAAATCAGAGTTGGGTGGTGGGTTCAAAAGGTTCATGGATCATCTTCTTGATGGCCCCGCAGAGCAAGCTAGGCTTGATGAGATGCGGAAAGAGCTCAACGAATCCAAGGCGACCTTAATCCTTGCCTTACAGATGGCGCAGGTTGGGCTCATTAGATCAGTCGGGAAAGGCGATATCATTGTCAACGTGCAGATTGTTACCCAAATTGACGAACGGGTACAGCAATGCACAGGGTCGGAAGAAGGACTGCGCCTTGCGCAGCTACTGCAACAGCGAGCCTGGAAGGATGAAGATGGGAAGTGGCATCTTAGTGACCAAGACTTGGCAGAGCTTTCAAGGCCGCCACCCTACGTGTACAAGCAAGGTCCGCATACTCGAGCTGAGGTGAAGGACAACACAGTTATCTCTGCAACCTTCATCGGAGTTGGCGTAGGCAAGGATGGCGGGGACGAGAACTCGGTGTATCACCCGGATGAGCTGATCGTCACAAACAACAAAGTATCTCAAGGTGCCTTATTTGTTGGCGGCGGAATTTCGGCAAAAAACTTGGCCTATCTTCGGCGAAATGGTGTTTGAGGGGTGAGATGAAGTTTCTAGTGACAAGGCTTCCCTTGAATGGCTTCTATCCTTTGTTCATCGAATTGTATGGTGCTTCTTTCTTTTTTTCAGCGACTTTCTGGACTTATATCAAAGTTAATGTATTTATTTCATCAAATCCCTTCTTTCATGAATTCCTAGAGATCTATGTGTAACTCGCTGTAGTTGACGCCAAAACCTGTCTTTTCTAATTAGTCAAAGCATGGTTCTCCGCTCATTACCAGTAATTCCCCAAACCTACTTCATCTCCTAGACATCTTGTGGCAGCTGAATCATATTTTGATTCAATTCTCATGGTAGGTCTGAATATATGAGACCATGCAATTACCCCTCAACGAGTCACCGTGAGGATCAACTTTGGGCCATCGGTGTGCCACGTCCATATGCCTTCTCAGCTGGTTAAATGTATATTTCACTGGGTTTCTTCAAGCTGGAGTTTTCATTAGCTAAAGTCTTTGAAAGAAGAAGTCTGGCAAATAATTTCAACCTTCCATTAAGCAAGAGTTTGGAAGATCGAAAAACTCAATCTTTGAAGTTTGCCGATGTCGTTTTTAAGAGCTTCGTGCAAGCTCAGTGGCTTGTCGTCTGGCACTGTGAAGTCTGTCATGACAGAGGCTTCGTAATTGGTGCTGGCCAGTGTTTCGGCAACTTCATCCTCGTAATATGCATTCCGAATCAGATCCTTTCCTTCAGTAATGAGAGAGCTGAGATTATTCCGACTAGGTTCCAAGATGTGGACAGCATTTCCACTGCGATAAATATCTGTAGCTTTGCTTAGCAGAAGGACAAAAGACAAAACAAAAGGAGTTCCTTGTACAGGGAATACAAGTGAACAGAGGTCTATTTCCAAACTTGTAAATGTTCCTTGAAGCCCTAAGGGGAGGGTCTCAGCAAGTTTGGATGAAATGAGGACTTGCCGCTATTTTTGATAAGTGCTTCGCCAACTCCAACTAAACATTGAACGACAGCGCCGCCAAACACATTTGAACGATCATTAGTAAGCCTATCGAGATCGTCGTCCGTAAAATTGAATTTCCAGAGGCACAACCGTTGCCGTTCCTCGTTGAGTATAAACTTGGTCATGCTCAAAGAATCCTGACTGGTGTCATGGCTCTTTGAGGACTGAAAGTTTGCATCTCTTTCGACCACTTCAGAAGAATCGTTTAAGCTAGAAATTTCTCCTTGGGAGGCTTCAGTTGATGATGTGACATCGTTCCAGGTTGCTAATGGAAGCGGCTCTTGTTGAAGGAGCAAAGACCAAAATTCAAGCACCGCAACGAAAAGACGAGACGCAACAGACGTAGACATGATGGCTTTTGTGGATGAATGTGGAACCATTTGACTGCTGATGACGACGGAATGGTTCTTGGTAGCAGCGATAAATGGCGAACCGCAAGGCAACCGTGGGCCAGAGCAGTGATAAAGCAAACGAGGCGGGGTCTCCCCGGTTGGATGACAAAACTGAATCCAGACTTTTGACCCAAAAACAAAAACAACTAATTGTAGTATCATTAGAATTGGGCAGATGAAATCGTATCCAATCACATAGTTTGTGTCCTGCAGATTTTGTTGGAAATGCCCAGAATATGCCCAAGCCCTTCACAGAAACTACGAATCAAGGAAGCATGACATCCAAAACTCAGCCATTTTCAAAAGTCCCCATGCACGATTCAATAGTCTGATAATCTTTTCCGGGTTAACATGGAATCGCGGGCATCTTCGGTCATGTATGGGGCAAATAGTATGCCGGCAGGTGTGTGAACCCATAAGATATCAAATCAACACTCCATAACCAGCAGCCAGTATGCAGTCTCCGCATTAGTAAAGCTCTATTAATCTACTTACATGATACGTATACCGAGTCTGGTATAGCGTGAGGGAACTTGACGTGACGCCCGGTCAGAGGCCATTCCTACAATGACTTGCACGATTATCATGCAGCAAAGGTTCGTAGCCGAAGGTAAGTCCACCAATGTTAGCAGTCATAGACTCATGCTACTGTAAGAGGCTTACTATACGCCCTTGAAAGGAGCCAAAGTCTCCGCGTGGCGTCTGTTAGTGGTCTGGATCCCATCTTATCAAGAGGTAGAGAATCGGGAGCCGAACGCTTTTCACACTGTCCAGGCTCTTTTTTAATGCTTTTATGACTTATCCCACAAGTGATTAAACACGTGTTAATTTGCTAAATCTCTCAAGGGTGTTGTTGACACTACCTATAGATAAGAGGTTTGTAAACCTTGTCTCCGTACATTGACTTGACTTGGAGAAGAAAGGGCCATAGCTCCCAGGTCACATCCTATCATTCAATCTCTTTGGAATTTCTCTGCGAGTAGAAAGCTTTATCTAGTCAACAGAAAGAATGAGGCTTAATCAAATTCCACGAACAGGTGCTTGATGCATCTCTACACAATGCACGGGTCTGCGGGAAGTTTCCAAAATCGACGAGGACATACATCAGCATTTGCTAAAACATTCTACTATAGATACCACTTCCAGAAAGTCTAGGTCTTATTGGGGACATTGCGCAGATGCCCCAACCAGGGTGCTGAAAATCGTTGGCAGATATACCTCGGCAAACCTATTAGAATTTCCACGATTCAGACTGAATACAAGGCGTTGACTGAAGAGATCCGTAAACATACAGCATGGAAGCGTTCCTTCCAATTGACCCCCGGGTAAGGCTGCTGTATTCGTCTTGTTTGGTGGCTCCGTGGTCATGGCACTGGCGTGGCTATCTCCTCAGCTGGCAGTGACGGCCGCTTAGATAGATAGAAAGCTTATGTTAGTTCAGCCAGTAGCGCTGCAGGCATTTTTGCCATGTTGTCATGTACAGACCGCCTTGTATGTCCAATTAACATGTACGCGGAATACTTCTATGGGCTCTGTGGCTCTGCTTTTGAGCTGGGATACTTTTTGCTGTGGGCATGCGTGTGCACCACGTCAGTTTCTATATGGACCCTTGACCTTAACTCAGAGCTCTCAGCTAACAGTATATATCTCTCCCGATTCGTAGTATGGGCAAGCAGAATAAAAAGCCTAAGCCAGCGAATATCAGCGGGCTCCCAGTTTCGAGTCTGGATGAGAACTGTTGGAAGAGGGCAATTGAAGGGAGCAGATAAAAGGGGAGCACAGCCTGGTTAGCCACACCCTGGAAGGCGGGGCCAGCCCCTCAGCCACAACGAGGGGCATATCCCACTTTACCTTGCTGCTGACTGCGCAGTCTTCCATCTTCATACCCAATACAGCTAGCAATATCACCACTTCGACGCGTTCGTTGCTATCACTCGTACAAGTATCACTGCCTGTGAGACTAATAAGAACCAATCCGAACTTTGCAACTTCAAGTTCATTCCGGCAGCTCTTCTGAAGGTCTACGTGCCGCGCAATCCGGCCCCCTGACTGACTAGGGCCACCGTATCCTTCCAACCCGAATGCTTACACGTCCGCCACTGACCTCAGGAACATTACACGTCCTTGCAGCTTCAGTTTAACCTTCTCTACTGCTCCAGCACAGCCTGTGTTCAAAATATCAACACAGCTGCTGGCTGAAACGGTGTTATGATCGACCCTGTCATCTGGTCAGAATCGACTCCGGTTGCCAAGGCCTTGTTGCCACTGGCTATAGCAGACGAGCGTTGGCACAAACGCTCGGCCAGAGATTGCAACCGCACGTGAAGCAGAGTGATAGGCATTATTCCTTGGCGGGTTTGATAAGATAGTCAGGATCGACCTTGGGACGGCGGGTGCTGCCTGTCTTCTATTGAACAGCGGTCGCGTTTAGCGGGCGTCGTGCAGGAGTCGCATGGGTTCAACTGACACTGTTATACATTCTAGTGCTTCGGCAGCGGTGTAGAAGTTGGTATTACCGTTGGGGCAAGTTGAAGTCGTCGTGGCAACGCTTTCCAAGCAAATTGGAATACTTCATCATCATAACTTGTTCTTTTCGAATTGTGCAACAATCCAATATGTTTGACTTGCTGGCTGTCCCCGTCGCTGCTACTCTGACCGCCGCCACAGCCTAGACATATGCCACCAGAATCAGGGGTTCTGCCCAAGTTGCAGGTGATTAAATAATTATTGCCGCAGCCTTGCATAGTAGGTTGAGTTGGCATTATCGTAAAGGAGTTGTTAGATTCCAAGACGCATATATCAGGAGTACATAAAAGGCTCTAATCGTGCTTACCAAGCCGGGAAATCTACTGAAGCCAACGGTCAACGGGTGGTTGGAAATGGAAACTTTCGTAGAGTCATCACTAAGGTGGAAAAGACATAGGAAAACAGCTTAGATTTCTACGTGTAGGACTGCCTTGGCCGGAGCGTATCAAGATGTATCCTTCGTGTTGAATCAGCCTGGAGGGACCGGACTAATGGTTATTCCGGCCCTGCGAAATCTCCCAAGGCTGCGCGATCTGCATGAGGGTATCACGACAGAAACATAATCAGTGCTACTGGAAGGCACTGAGGTAATAGTGCCTAGAGAAATACTGTTCTACGTTTCCAGAAAGCTGCAAGCCCTCGATGATATTTTCTCTTATTGATACGGTGTTAGGATCCAACTACAGACTCCTTAAGCCATTTTCTCCTACATAGACTAGTCCCAAGGACCAAAAAAGTCGGAGAGCCTCATCTGTAAAACCGTCACCGATCTACGGGTGTCGATCAATACCAGTCGTTTTCTTGCCAATGGGATTGTCGCAAATTCGCTAGAAGTGTGTTAGTGCTGTAGCATGTCGGTCTTTTCTTTATGTTTTCATGTACTCACTTTCCTACGAGTCCTGAAGTCTGTGTAGAAGCCAAGCCACATTTCCCTTGCGGTACAGTCGTCAACATCATCCTTGACTACGCATTTGGGCTGGTTCGCCTGAACTAGTTCCGGTGGAGATTTCAACCAAGGCTTATGCAGCGGCCAATCAGAAAAATGAAGAAGCTTCGCTTCGTTGTAAATGGCAACTGGATCGAAAACTCCTTCATTGTTTCCG